CTGCACTCCAGCCCGGGCGACAGAGCCAGACCCCATCTTGAAAAGAACAAAATGGGAGAAGAGAGGCGATGACAGGGCTAGGTGCCAGTTCCCTGGGAGGTGGGGTGGGGAATTCCCCGGGGGAAGGGAATGACAAGGTGTGAGGAGGCTGCTGGATGCCCCTCCAGGGCAGTGCCCGCTTCTAGAGTGGCCAGGGCTGCTCTCGTGTCTCCAAGAGATGGAGTGATACAGGGGTGAGGCCTCCCAGCCTCGGGCAGGGGTGCCACCGTGCTGGTCCCAGGACTTCCAGAGACATCTGGGGAACGAGTTCACACCCACTGCAGGCCTGCTCAGCTGAGGCGTCAGCCTGAAGCATCTGCAGGCTTCGGGGCCAGCCCAAGAGACGGCCAGAGATGGATTCTGTTCTTGTCTTTTGGTTTTTTTTTTTTTTTAAGAGACAGAGTCTTGCTGTGTTGCCCTGTCTGGAGTGCAGTGGCGCAATCATAACTCACTGCAGCCTCGACCTCCTGGGCTCAAATGATCCTCCCAGCTCAGCCTCCCTAGTAGGTGGGACCACAGGCACATACACCATCATGCCCAGTTAATTTTTTGTATGTTTTGCAGAGACAGGGATTCTCTATGTGGCCCAGGCTGGTCTCAAACTCCTGGCTTCAAGTGATCCCCCCGCCTCGGCCTCCCACAGTGCTGGGGTTACAGGCACGAGCCACTGCGTCTGGCACAGTCTGCATTTTTGTTTTTTTGAGACGGAGTTTCGCTCTTGTTACCCAGGCTGGAGTGCAATGGCGCGATCTCGGCTCACCGCAGCCTCCGCCTCCTGGGTTCAGGCAATTCTCCTGCCTCAGCCTCCTGAGTAGCTGGGATTACAGGCACGCGCCACCGTGCCCAGCTAATTTTTTGTATTTTTAGTAGAGACGGGGGTTTCACCATGTTGACCAGGATGGTCTCGATCTCTTGACCTCATGATCCACCTGCCTCGGCCTCCCAAAGTGCTGGGATGACAGGTGTGAGCCACCGCTCCCGGCCACAGTATGGATTCTTGAAGTTGCTGCCTGAGGCCCAGGATCCAGCTGTGCCTGAAGGCCAACTTTTCCACGCCAACCTTTCCATCATCAGAGCTGATAAGAGTTGGAGTAACTCACTCTAACCACCTACAGGGACCACGTTCCTGACCAAGGATCTGGAAGAATTTTCTAGAAGGGCTGGGGCAGCAATGGCAAAGCAAGGGTCCCGTGCACCAGCCTCTCCATGTCTCGGCACAGCTCAGGGAAGCTGAGGGCAAGGCCTGGCCTGGGTCCTGGGCACAAAGGCTCTGCTGTTGCTGCTCACCTGCTTTGACTCATGGACCTGGCACGGTGGGGTGACCCCAGTCTAATCATCACACACCAGGGACGCTGAGGGGCAGGGCTGTGGGTCTCCCATCTGTAGGCCCCACGTGGGGAGGATACACCACCCACATATTGTGGGTCCCTTGAGATGTCCCCAGGGCAG